CATCAAATCTTTGTGCTTATGCAAAGGTTTGTCCTTAGAATACAAGGAAACTTTCTTTAAGGAAGTTGTAAACTTTTCCACTCATCTCGACGAGAACGAAAAAGACATCATTGTAGCTTTTGTATCTAAAGTATCTACGTCCAGTCAGAGCCTTGACAGTAATCAGCAAGTCTTATCCGAACTGTTAGAGACACTGAATCAATTGAGTTTCAAACACAAGCTTCTGAAAAAACAAACTAGATCTAAAACATTTCAGCTCATTATGGATCTGGCCAAATCTCCGCTTACGAGCATGAAGACTGATAATATAGTTCGAATATTGAGGCATTCAAGGAATTCAAAGGATGACCTATCATGCTGCGGATATGTTTTAAGAGTAGTAACCTCAGCTACAACAATTGTCAAAGAAAGAGCTCAAGAGTATTTTGACATTCTTTTCTCAGCAATTTTTGAAACTTTGAACGGTTCGAAACCCCTCAGTGAGGTCTTTAGCATTCACCATCGGAAAATGACTGACCTACAATTTGATGATGGTGTGTCAGTCGATGTGATGACCATTTGGAATGTCGTCGTAGCTGGACTATTAGCAGTCGGCATCTTTAATGAGAAGGTTGACTCGCATTGTTGCTTGCCGGTTTTTGCAAGGGCAAAGGGATTTAACTCCCCCTTCGAAGCATTGTTACTGTATTTTGAGTTAAGGCTGGTGTTTTCTAAAGTCATTTTTTTGTTGAGAAATTCGCCCAAGAGAGGTAATAGAGAACCATTACCTCAAGCCCCTGTCGGAAACTTGGTTGATGCTCTGAAAATCATTGTGCAGTCTGATGTCTTAACAACCGAGGCGAAGCTTAGGTTGATCCGAAAACTTTTAATCCTGGTGCAAAGAAAACCATGGCTTCTTACTGGAAATACCTTACCCTGTGCACTCATGAATGTGATTCCGCTTAGCTGCAAGATCTGCCAATCAGATAAAATGAAGCATTTGGACTTTGAGCTCATTGCAACCATCATTGAAAGTCCTGGAATGGTGGAACGCCTTGGAAGTATTCCTTCGACGCCGTCAAAATCAATGTGTTCCGTTCTTTGTTCAAACATAGATGATGTTGGCAAGATATACGATTGTGTTGCCTCCTTCAGAGTTGCAAAGCAAGCATTCCTGGAGCATATGTTATTACTATTGGAATCAACTATCAAGGTTTCCAGCTCAGCCATTGAGGTAGTTCGTCTCCTAAAAGAAGCAGAAGAACTACTCTGT